TCACTCCGTGGGCCAGGAAGCCCACTGCGTTATCTCGTGGTGGTCTCATGGTTCTGCTGCTGCCATTTCTCAGCCATGCTTACCACCCCTTCTCATCGTCTGGTGCCTTCTTTGATGTTACACCTCCAGGATCTAGGAGGTTCTTAGCACAGAGACCCTGGATCCAAAAGACGCATTCCACTGACGGCTCTTCCTGGTGTTAGAGAGATATCCCCCGTCTCCACTTCTGGAACTGGCTCCCTTTAAGCCTAGTGGGATGGCAAAACTGACCAATCCCCTTGCTAGGGTTCCATACACCTTGTTTGCACAGTCCCACCCTCCTACAAAGGTTCCATGCACCTTATTTGCATTATTAGCAGCTGTCTAATCCTCTTGGTGGGCCACAAATATCTTATTTGCATAGTCCCATCCTATCATTTTCTGGAAGTCACAAGACCATGCATGGCTAGAAGGGCCATATTAAGTAATTCACTGCACTGCATCAGTGAAAGGAACTGTGCTTTCAACTGTTTTATTTATTAGTCCTTCTAGGTAAAATTTCATTTGAACAAAGTGTTTAGATGCTTAAAAGTTTGAAAACTACTCATATAGAGTATATAGCCCCTCCTAACCACGGTTGTACTTTCAGTTCCTATCTCCCCAAAGTCCAGTGATACCAGTGAGCTCCATAACTACTGCCCTGTATTGAGATCCCAAACTCACTTTATTTATTGCCTGTATTTTGTGTTTTGGATATAGACATCTGAAGCTATACATATGGCTCCCAGAAATGTTCTCTGATTATGTTGTCCTCCAAATCACTGGGCACCTCCCATACAGTTCTTTTTTCTATATTATTTATGCTGTTTTCCATGGGAACTAGTTTCACAATTATGGAATGTATATATTTATTTTAAATAGTTTTTCTGATTACAAAAGTAATGTTCTCATTGTAGAAAACTGGGTAGTAAGACAACTCTAAAGAATAAAATGAAAATGATCTGTAATGCCATCACTCGTAGATAACCATAGTTAATACCCATTTGGCACATGTTTCTCCTGTTTTTGTTTTATGTACATATGGATATATTTTTACAGAGTTGAGCTCATACTGTATAACATCAAATAATGAGCATTTTCACATGCCATTTAAACTTTATCAAAAACATTTTAATATCTGCATAATATTCTATCATATGTATATAATTTGTTTGACAGGTGTTTTTGGCTGTTTATTTAAATTGTGTTGTGATATACGTCCTTGTGTGTAAATCTTTGTCTGCATTTCTGATCATTTTCTTAGGAACAAAACATAAAAGGAAATTTACTGAGTCAAAGGCTATTAACATTTTTAAGGCTTTTAATGCATATTCCAAAATTACTTTCCAAAAACTTTGTCCCATTTTATATTGTACCATAAGTGTTTTAAGGAGGCCATTTACAATTTTTTGCTAATTTGCTAGTGGAAAATTTTTTCTCATGTCTTCGATGACCTTTTTTTCATAAATTATCAAATTTATGTGTATTTTTTTATTGGCGTGATTATTTGATTAATAAATAATCGCCTCCAATGTAAGAGGTTATAAGGGATCCCTATAATGTCCCTAAGGATCCCTGGGTGGCCCAAATCATTTGTATTCAGCTGGTAACCAAAAGATTGGCAGCACTGAGGAAGAAAAGGCAGGCAACAACAACGTAATGGCCCTAAAGGCAAAATCTTTATTTTGCTCACGGATGATTCTCAGTGCCAGGCGCTTGGAAGATGTTCAGAGAATATTTATTAAATGAATGAATGAGTGAACAGTAACGTTAACAGTATTTTTTTTTTCATTTTTCTCTTCTTTAAAAATTTTTTTCATTCTTTTCTATTTTTGGGACTAACACTTTTTACGTAATTATTAAACCAATACCAAACCCATTGGCACTGAGTCAATTCCAACTCAGCAACCCTATAGGACATAGTAGAACTGCCCCGTAGGTTTCCAAGGAGCTGCTGGTGAATTCAAACTGCTGACCTTTTGGATAGCAGGCCAGCTCTTACCTACTACGCCACCAGAGCTCCTTATGTAATTATTAGACATTTCTATTTCTTCTTCTGTGACTTTTCTCTCCATGTCTATGTCCTTGACTCCTTTTCTACTGGAATCTTAGCTGTGCAACTAATACAGGTAGTCCCTGACTTACAATGTATTCAAGTTACGATAAACCACACTTAATGACCGTCTTTTTTTTTTTTGTACATCTTGTATTAGTGATATGTACTACATACAATGTTAAGCATGTAATTTGCTGATGCTACCATTATCTGTAAGTTTACATGTGATGTTTACAAGCCCCAAAGACAAATAAAGATGGGATTTATAAAGATACTGATAATGAAAGGCAATAATAATGAAAACTGAAAAACAAAAAGAGATTTTCTGCTTATGTCACAACTGACTTACAAAGGACTTGATGGGACTGTCAGAGTTATTGGAAGGCAATCCTGTTGTAAGTCGGAGACTACCTGTAGCTAGCATGGCCTTCAAAGTCAGAAAGACTTTGGTCCAAATTTTGTCCAAATTTTGGTGTGACTTGAACAAGTATCTTAATCTCTCTAAGCTTCATATTCCTGTCCTGCAAAATGGAGATAATATTAATCCCTACCTCATCAAATTGTCTTGAGAATTAAATGAGATAATGCACGTTCAGTACACGGCCCATAAAATATTTAATAGATGTTTAACTTTATAATCTTAAAAATTTATGAGTTATTAATACAGTAAAGTATATTAATTTTTGTGTCATTATTTA